TTCCAGAGCTGCGCACCGGCCCATACCGCACTGCGTACCTCACTGCGCACTGGTGCGCCGCAACTATGAAATAGACCCATTGAATGCGGCTGGTATGACAACAGAGGGATAGGCAGAGCCAAAAAACGGATAGCACTACACGAATACACAGTAAGAAGGGTTACAAAATAAGTCGTAGACTCCGTAGAGAAGAAAGCCCGCAGCAGGCCATTGTTGCAAGATGGATTTCCAATTCTGATATGTCCTTGTCTGCTCCGAACAACCAGATGGGGGTTTCTTGCCTTTTGCTTCCTCGCTTCATTTGCTTTTGCTCATTTCTTAACTGTCTAACTTCCATAGATCTTGTGTTTTGAAATCTAGGTTTATTAGGGAGTCTTTCGTAAGTTTCCTCACCACTAATATCATTCCGCCCGTGCTTTCTATGTCATGAACGCCAAAGCTTGCATAATATGAACCAGTGATCTCACTATTAATGCTGGATGCCTTTTAAGCTGCTCTCCCAAGCAAGACAATCTAACAGAGCAGGTTGACAATAAGCTGATAAGTTGGCATGGAATAACAGCATAGGGTGGGATCAGACCGCAACAGACCCAATCACTGGGATTGGTGTGGTAAGGGAAGGTTTTCCTTGGGTCACTTCATTTTATATACAATGCTTATTAGCCAGAGGGAGGTTAGTCCCCAATACCCCTTCAGTGCGTGGTAACCGTGGACCCGGACACCAGACACTCCCGGATTGTCTTCCAGACCAGTGTCTGGACCGGTCCAGACTGTCTGGTGATCTGGACATCACCGGACCTGGGCAGTCCAGACCGGTGTCAGGGGGTGCAAAATGTCCGACGCTGACCTGCTTTGCACTTTGTAGTTCAGGCATCAGAGCACCTGTCTTGCAGCAAATCAACAAGCACATTCAACTAGCAGACGTGCACTGTTGCAAACAGTGCAAATGTGGCATTCTGAGACACGGGCCCCAGTTAGGGCCCGGTTCCATCTAGGTCCGGGTACGCCTAGGGGTACGACGGTTCAGATCAGGCCCAGGCAGACCTAGGAGTATGCCGGTTCAGTTAGAACCCGGTAGGCCTAGGTGTAGGGGTCTAAGACAGGCCCAACGGTCACATTGGTTCAGGTCGGTACCGGTCCAGCGGTAGGACCTACCGGCGGCACAGTTTGAACAGCGGCCAAGTTAGGCCGCCACTTTCAGATTCCCGCAACAGGATCTGAACCGTTGATCAGATCAACGGTCCAGACCCAAGGTGCCAGCAGCCTTGAGGCTGGCCCCGCACTATATTAGCCGGTTACCAGCCTCAGTAGGGTAGGTTAGTCTACAGTTAGTCTACGAGTTAGTCGTCAGGATTAGCGCAGCGTTTCAGCAGGAAGATGAGCCGCGAGAAGGGATTAGCGCAGCAGCAAGGAGGAACAGCGCAGCAGCGCCTTAGCGCAGCAGTGGAATAGCGCCAGCCTCTGGCCCAGCCCGCGGCCCATCGCCCAGTCCTGCAGCGCCATAGCTGCATAGCCAGGTACCAGGGAGAAAGACTTCGCCTTTCCTCCCTCTTCTTCCTCCTCCGCTCTCTCTCTCTCTCTCTCTCTCTCTCTCCCTCTCTCTCTCTCTCTCTCTCCCTCCTCTAAGTCTAAGACTACTTGGATTACACTACTGGACTACTACGACTATGAAGGATGGTTACGAGTTCTGATGATACTAGAGGTAGCGACATTGAGACTGCAGGTTGAGGACTACTTTTGGGATCTGACTTCATCTACCTCTGAGGATGTATCTTGACATTGTGAGGTCGATATCTGAGACACTGTGAGACTCTGTATTCGCGACATTTCGGATTTTCGCTATTTCTGACATTTCGAGATCCTATCTTTGGAAACATTGAGTCGACGTCATCTTCCCTCTCCTCCTCCCTTCGTCTCTCCTCCCCTCCATTCATCCGTGTATGAGAGTTGCCCCTGGCCTTTTCCTCTAAGTCCAAGGCCAGGGCTTCACACCACCGATGTATGTTTGTGAGTGCTTCGTTGCAGTCTGAGTCAATACATGTATCTCAAGTCTTCCGCTGTATTTGTATGTACTCTGTATTATATGGTCGGTTCTGGGAATCTGTGCCATACTTATGACTTTGTTTCACGAGTATGCAACAGCAAAGCAGGCACAAGACTAAAGAAATAGAGGGAAACAAATTGAAAAAGTACGATTAACTTTGAAGTTTGAACTTTGAATTAAGTAATTTAATTTCATAATAATAAGTATTAATAACTTCATACTAGTCATATAACTT